CCCCCCCCCGCCCCCGCCCCCCCCAGTCTCTCCTGCACAGTTTCGCCGCCCTTACCGATAAGCGCGCGAATCTGCACCTGGAGAAAGCAGGGGACATACACTTCTCGCTCCTTTTGCTGGAGAACACAGCAATCCAGACTATGGCATCGAACGAGCCGGAACACTCACTGCTCAGAAGGTTGGCGCCATGTACTTTTTGCTGATTGACCTCAAGGCTGCATGTTACAACAGTAGCGCTTGTAATCGAAACCCTTCCAATCCCAGCGCAATAAACCCTAAGCCTAAGCCTGAATTGTCGCGCTGTCGGTGGCAGCCGTGGTCTAGTCTAGTCGCAGTCGTCGTAATCGTCGCCGAGGCCGTACTCGAAGAATTACCAGTAGCTGCAGCAGTCGTAGTAGCAGTAGCAGTGGCAGCAGCAGGGTAGCAGTAGCAGTGGTGGTGGTGGCAGTCAAGCAGTAGTTGTAGTCGCCCTCATCGTCGTCATCCTCGTCGTCACCGCTGTCCAAGCGGAGTAGTACCACTAATGCAAGGACACTACCAGGTTCACTGCCAACCTGCATGCTGGTTCTACTGCTACTGTTGTTCTTGAGACCTTATCTTGTTCTTTGGTGTGCAACCCTACCAGCCAAGGGCATCGCTACACTTCGTCCCACCATAGACAAACGGCCCTCCCTGCCGATGCGGATGAGGCAGAAAAGCCGTGAGGTGCGATGCTGCACAGTAGGAATAGCCAAGCCCTTGTTGAAAATTAGCCCACGCGTATTGACAGTTCTTCAGTCCAGACACAGACACTGTAATTAGATCTTACATTCAAACCTCCAACCCCTAAACCTCAGATGCTGAATATCAACAATCCTTACCTGCACATCCTATAATTAGCATCCTTCCCGAATCTCGGACCCAAAATCCAGCAGCCCAGACTCCGAGCCTGACTCCTAGGCTTAGCAACCTTTCACCCTTATCCTCTTGCAGGTGCGGCGCTGCTTCCATCTTCATGACCTTGAAGCGTCCAGGGTCCACACCCGGTGGGGCCTGGCTTTTGGGCCAGAGCTTAGGAGAAAACGCACGACAGCAATAGCAAGCATGATGGCCACCTGAACCACCATCGTTGCTGCAGTTATGTTCTGATCATTGGTCAGAAGCAGTGGCGGTGGCACTGGTTGCAGCAGCAGCAGCAGCAGCAGCAGCAGCAGCAGGAGCAGGAGCAGGAGCAGGAGCAGGAGCAGGAGCAGGAGCAGGGGCAGTAGCAGCAGCAGGAGCAGGAGCAGGAGGAGGAGCAAGAGCAGGAGCAGTGACAGTCGTGGTACGACGTATACGTGGTACGTAATACGTAGTACGTAGTACAGTACCTAGTGCGTGTCTCTGTCCGTCCGCCTGTCTGTCTGTCTGGCTGTCCGTCGGCCCGTCTGTCCGTCCGTCCCTCCGTCCGTCTGTCTGTCTCATAGAAAACCTTATACATAAACGCACCTACACACATTGTACATATTGTGCGTGGGCATTGTCTTGTACACTTATGTTCGGTGGGGTGTACATATCATGCAGGGTTTACAGGTTCCAGGGCTTGGGATTCTGAGGTGCAACGGCCATGAGGGCCACAATACCGGCTTGGCTCTTCGAAGCTTCGAGCTCCTTTTCTGCAATCACAACGCCTGCAGCCAGGCAAGTCAGACTAAGATTTGGCAGACATCTCGTGCGCACAGCCTCTCCCTGCGGCTGGCAGTGGGGGAGCGCCTAAACCGTGCATGCTACGACCGATACACCTGGAACCCGTTCTCCTACCCTGACACCCCAAAGACGTCCCCGTACCTGCTAGCCTTTCGGCAACTGGAGGCGGCTCGAAGCCAAATTCAAAGGGCCCTTGCGGGACTTCGGCACCCAAAAGGGTCCTCGACTCCGAGGGTTCCAGGTAAGGAACTGCTTCCTCGAACAAGGCACCATTTAGGGTTTTAGGTCCTGGAGATCATGGGACCCCAAAGATTCCGCGCAGATGGTGTGGATGGAAGACACGTGCAAACGTCAGCTATGGCAGTCAGCTGTGGCCTCACCTGCCCCAGCATACCGGACTGGCGGAATATCACTTCGTGAGGTAGCAGGATCTGCTGCATTTGTCAGCTCATTTAGGGGGTAGCATTTCCTCGGCCAGGACGGCTTCTGACGCTACCGGTATGTCTAATTCTGATGTTCTTGCGAATGCTGCTGCGATTGCTACGAGTGCTGCCATGATTACGGCATCTGTAGCTGAGGCTGCTAGTTTAGCAAAACACTACTGCTTCGCTTACTTGCCTTCGCACATGTATCATTTCCACTTCTCTCGACTTTGCTTTGAGCATCCGACAAGGCCTATCACACCCTATCAACGCTTACTGCAATCTCTTTAAATGAGTGTAGAAGCTTACAAAAAAAACCCTAAACCCTACACCCTAAACCGAACAGTATTAGTGATAGTTAAATTAAAAAAATTTCGGACCCGAGATGCTAGCTGAGGGCTACAGCAGGGGCTTCAACAGTTGGCAGATGGGCAATCTTTCCGCCGCCTATGTTTGACATACTTCACGCTCTTGGTGAGCAAAACTGGCAGCATGGACTCATGCCCAGTGCAAGCCAAAGCCGCATCTCGTAAACCTTCCGCCCAACACTGCATCCTACTTTAGTGAATGAATTCCTGCAACACCCAAAAAAGACAGAGCCCTGAAGACAATACCTCTATGTGCGTCGTTATCCGATTTATATCTATCAACGTCAGCATCACCATCATCATCGGCGGCATTACCGTCACCATGCTCATCGACGAAAGATCAACACCGCCATGATTATGACGACCATTTCTGTCTCGCATCTTATCAATTTTTCGAAGGCAGTATGCAAAGCGGATGGGGAACGAGGTTCCTTGTTCCATCTCCATGCACTGTCCCAAGCCTTGTTCGCAGTGCGGCCTGACCACTGGCGCGACCCACTCCCACAGCAACCATAACGCAGAGCGCAGGAGAATCCCAATGACAACAACAAGCAAAATTGTAGCATGTACATGGTGTATGAAGTCATAATACAGTCGCCATCACCATTATGATCATCATCATCACCGTCGTCATCATCAGCGTGCTCGAAATGATAGTGCAATGACAATGAAAAAATCTTATAACGGCGAATGCAAACACAGATGCCGATCACCCGCGGCACGAACCGATGTCTGATAAAAACCAAAGAGTGAATAGTGATAGCAAATATAATAATTCGACGTACAACCTGACGAAACGATCTTCATAACAAATAACCAAACAAAGAAACAACGACAGTGAAATTCAGGACCGCCCCCCATCCGGTACTCCGGATTTTGGTAAGCCCACGTCCTAAATCCGAAAACCGGAATCCGGCGCCCTAAACCTGAAACACCGAGTCCTCCATAGACTGCAGATTGAGACCCATGTTCATCGACAAACGTCAGAACATATACCTTTCTCTCCAGCCCTATCTAGCTCCTACAAACAAACAAACAAAACCTACCCTATTACACCGTTATCACGGATGATCCTTTCTGGGCCTGGCTGGCCCTGTCAGCTCCCAGCCCATGGGTTTCGGTGCGAAGCTGTTGTTCGGCACTTCCCCCGAAAGGCAATGAAAGGCTTGAGGCGCGCAATCTGATTCAAGAGCTCTTTCTTTAGGGTTTATGGTTTAAGGTTTCAGGTTTGGGATCTAGGGGTGCAGGTTTTCAGGTTTATAGGTTTAGCGTCTAGGGCATAAACCAGTAGCAGAAATAATCGTGATTCGCAGCATTCATAACCAACATCATATATGAGAACAAACGCTGAAATGATGGTAGTCCAAACACAAAAAAACTCTTAGACGCTTTCGGTGTATGCTGTTGGGCTGTTAAGCTTCAAGGTGCTCAGGGACAGTGGGAACGCCTTCGTAGTGTCCTCTTTACGTCTGGCTATGGGAATCGCCCCAAGCCTGCTCCAGCCCTGAAGAACCTACGCCTCACACGGAGCGGGACACGCGGTACCGCCGCTGCCTGAGGCATCCGAGTTGGGGTTTCGGGCTTAGGGTCGGGCTAAGGGCTTAGGGGTTGGGTTTCTCTCTTAAAGTGCAATGCAGCGGACTCTACGACCATCCCAGCCACGTCGGGCCTACACTGCGGGTGAGACAGACTTTATAGGGGTCAGAGCTTAAGGTTTGGGGCTCAGGGGTTAAGCCCTGTAAGCCCTAGACCCTGAATGCTACGCCCTGAACCTTAAACCGCGAACCTGCGACTCTTAACCTGGAGCCCTGGGACCCTAAACCCAAGTTCTAGCCTAAGCACCTTAAACGCATAGTAAACCTTCAACATTACACCTTGTAGCCCGGAATGCAACACGTTCCCTAGACTCCCCTAGTGTTGTTAGGCTTCAACCTCTAAGTCTCTGAGGTTTAGGGTCGTTCCGGCCCATTCCGAAAAGACTCCGTCAGTTTGACGCTTGGGCAGTCCAGAAGCAAGGCATGCAAGTGTCGAAACCATGATGACACTGGTGAGGTAATGGCTGTTCTTGTGCGAAGAAGGTTAAGCTGCGGCTGAAAGAAGAAGAGGAGGGTCTTAATGTTGATGTTGATATTGATGGCGTTCTCGAAGGTGATGGTGACGGTGGGGTGGCCGTTGCGGTGACACTGACAGCATGATCACGTGTGGTGATGCTCATGGTAGTGGTAATGATGGCAGTGGTTGTGATGGCGGCGATGACGGTGATGCTGATGGTTATGGTGATGGCGATCGGACGAGGGATGAGGACGAGTAGTATCATGCTCATCAGAACGGCAGAAGCTCGCAACTCCACAGCAAAAGCCTCAGCAGAGCACCAGCAGCGCAGCACTTTCACCATCAAGCCGTTGGGCCCACATAACCCGCACCCCCGAGCGCCGAATTGACCCAAGAGGCCATGCAGGACCTTCTGGAAAGAAGCGTCGCTCGACGTCGGGGAAAGCCTTCAGCGACTACACGTCAGCGCGGAGGGTGCAGGTGAGATCATTCTGCGAAAGCCGTCGTCAAGGATTCTCGAACGGAGGAGGAAGGAGTTCTGGGAATCCAGAAGGAAATAATTGAACTTCTCGTTGCATGGTCCCCATCCAGATTGCCCAATCGCCCCCCAAGAAACCTTAAGCCCAACCCCAAACCTCAAACCCCCAACCCCCCAAACCCTAAACCCCTAAACCCCTAAACCCCAAACCCCAAACCCCAAACCCCAAACCCCCAACCCCCCAAACCCCTAAACCCCTAAACCCCTAAACCCCAACCCCCAAACCCTAAATCCCAACCCCCCAAACCCTAAACCCCAACCCCCCCAAACCCTAAATCCCAACCCCCCAAACCCTAAACCCCAACCCCCCCAAACCCTATTCTTGACCAAGGCCAAGGAGCCCGGGATACCAGGACGGGTTAGCGAAGATCCCGTCGGACTTAGCCCATTTGATCTCCTCGCCGAGAAACCCCACACCGACGATCTGAATTAGGGTTTAGGGGTTTGGGGTTTGGGGTTTAGGGTTTGGGGTTTAGGGTTTAGGGGTTTAGGGTTTAGGGTTTAGGGTTTAGGGTCTAAATTCACTTGCAGTCTGAGCCCCCTCTCAAAAAGCATCACCTAAGACCCGGTAGGTAACCCTCAACCTAAAACCCCTCCCCTCCCTAAACCCTAAACCCCAAACCATATTCAAAAAAAATATGCCCGAAAGAAAGCCTTATGATGCTTCAGTCTTCAGAGCTTCAAGGCAGTTAAAGTAGTAGTTCGGAGGAGAACAGTAAAGCCTAAGCTGCTAAATCCTAAACCCTGAAGCCTAAGCTCCTAAACCCTAAACCCTCTAAAGCCTAAGCTCCTAAACTCTAAACCCTAAAGTCCAAGCTCCTAAACCCCAAGCCCTAAGTCTGAAGCCAAACATCTGAAAATTGCAAACTGGAGGAAAGTACGATAGCTTCATCTCTACCGCCACGACTTCCATCATGGCCATCATCAGCACCAGCAACCACAACCACAGCAGCAGCAACAACAACGACAACAAACAACACTGCTGCTACTGCTACTGCTACTGCCGCTACTGCT